AGTAAATAATATTAATAACATTCGACACAGAGTTACACACAAGCCCCTGTCAATGTTCTATATTGTTCTTAAAAAAAAACCCAAATAATAAATCTATATATAACATAAGTCGACTGAATAATACTATAGTTAAAATTGAACCACCCATAAAAAGGAAAGAAATAGTTCAATGCAAAAGATGCCAACGATACAGCCACTCCCAAAAGTACTGTAATCGCCAATATAAGTGTGTAAAATGTGCAGATTCTCATCCAACTGTAGAATGTAAAAAATCCATTGATACTTCTCCAACTTGTCACTTATGCGGTGGCCACCATACCGCAAATTATAAAGGGTGCCCTCATTATAAAGAATTGCTCGAAAAAACATTCCCGAAATCTAGTCACAGAAAAAATACAAATATACAATTATGCTCACAGACTAACCCTATTGGAGATAACCAACTTTTTATCGATCCATCCTTTTCTTATGCACAAGCAGTTACAAGAAGCAATCACTCACCAAATAATCTTAGTCCAACTTCTTCTATTATAGAAAATAATAAGAATAAATCGTGCAATTGTGAAAATATAAGTAAGTTAGAAAAACTAATTGAAAAGCAAACGGAAGAAATAAATAACCTTATCTCTCTATTAACGGCTATTTTAAATAAACTGACTTCCACCAAAAATTAATGAGGACTTTACGTTTTGCTCTTTGGAATGCCAACGGTTTGATGCAACGAAAAGTTGAGTTGGAATCTTTCTTAAAAAATCAAGACATTCAAATAATGCTGGTATCTGAGACGCATTTTACCGATAAAACTTATTTTAGAATATATGGGTATAAGGTGTATTGCACGCACCATCCCAGTGGAAGGACACATGGGGGTACAGGGATTATCATCAAAGATAACATCAAACATTATGAGCTTGCGCCATACAAACAAAACCACATCCAGGCAACTAGTGTTATGATATATGACTGGCACAGCTCGCTTAGCATATCAGCAGTTTACTGCCCTCCTAGACACATTATACAAAAAGAAGAATCCTCATTACATCCAAGTCAATTCCTCACTTGAGGTTCTTTCTTCTGATCATTCTCCAATCATAGCGACAATACATTCAGACATCATTGAAAATAACATTCCTATCTCCATATACAATAGACTCACAAATTGGAATAATTTCCGTGAAGCCTTCAACTCCTATACCGTTAAATCACCACCATTAGTGACAAATGACGATGTTGACCATGCAATAAACTACTTAACGCGCAATATAGTAGACGCTGTTCGAGACTCTGCATCTAAGTTGGAATGGTTGTATGACTACGTTTATCCCGTATATATCATGAAAAAAATTGCAGAAAAACGAAAGCTGCGTAGAATCTGGCACAATAGCAGATTATTTGAGGACAAACATAAACTAAATAAAGCTACCAGAGTTTTAAGAAGATCTCTACAACGCTTTAAAAATGAAGGATTCCAAAAATTTTTAATGAACTTATCTCCCACAGCGGACTCAAACTATTCACTTTGGAAAGCCACCAGGTGCTTCACTCGTCCAAGTCAAGACATACCGCCGCTTCGCCAACCACTAGGTGGATAGGCAAGAAGACCAATAGACAAAGCAAACCTCTTTGCCCCTTATCTGGCTGATGCATTTAAACCATCTGTCTCCACTTCACTTATCGATGAAGAAGGAATTAGGAATTTCCTGAAAGCGCCTTTGCAATTGTCGCCACAAATCAAATCCTTTACGTCAATGGAGATCAAATTAACAATTGCAGCTAACGCAAATTCAAAGAAGGCTCCTGGTAAAGATCTAATTAACGGGAAGATAATAAAAGAATTGCCAAAGAAAGGGATAGCATTAATAACTTCTATATTTAACGCAATTCTACGTCTAGGTTATTATCCAACATCCTGGAAAATAGCTATCATAACTCTTATTCATAAACCAGGAAAACCAGCTCATGAAGTTACGTCATATCGGCCAATCAGTCTTTTATCCACTACATCCAAGTTATTTGAAAAAATGCTAATAAGTTGCCTCTTCGATGCACTAGATGCACCAGTTTTCCTTGAGCTTCAGTTCGGGTTTCAAAAACGTCATTCCATAACTGAGTAAATTCACCGTATAACACGTCAATTATCACAAGATCTCGAACGGAAAAAATACTGTATAGCAGTATTTCTAGACATTAGACAAGCTTTTCATAAAGTGTGGCACATCGGATTGCTACACAAACTTAAAAAAACTCTGCCATACTCTTTTTACACAATCGTAAAATCCTACCTCACTGACAGACAATTCATAGTAAAGTATTTAAATCAATCAATCACCACAGCATTCCCTTTCTTATCTGGTGTCCCACAAGGGAGTGTACTCGGTCCTTTACTACATACAATTTACACAGCAGATCTACCCACCTCAGGGGTGATAACTACGGCAACATTTGCAGATGACACTGCTCTATTAGCTTCGGACAGCGATCCTCAAAATGCAACTGAAATACAGCAATGTCATCTACACAAGCTTGAAAGATGGTCCCAAAAGTGACAAATTAACGTCAACGAAATAAATCGGCACATGTAACCTTCACGCTAAGAAAGGGAACTTGCCCTCCTGTGACAATTAATGTGACAGTAATTCCAACCAGGGATTCTGTTAAATACTTGGGTATGGTACTTGATAATAGACTGACATGGAAACATCATATTAAATCCAAAACAACCTATCTGAAGGAAAGAGTAAGAAAGCTATATCGGCTCATTGGGAGATCATCCAAGTTAATTCTGGAGAGCAAGCTCATAATGTACAAAGCCATTCTAAAACCCATTTGGACCTATGGAATTCAACTATGGAGAACCGCTAGTAACTCTAACATAGAAATTCTATAAAGATTTCAATCAAAAACCCTGCGGAATATTTGCAATGCCCCTTGGTATGTAACAAACGAAAGGATTCATATTGATTTAAGAATTCTTACAGTCAAGGAAGAAATTGTTAACTTCAGTGAACGCTACAATATTCGTCTAGCTAAACATCCGAATCCTCTTGCAAATAAATTGCTATTAACCTCAGAATTAGTATGTAGGCTAAAAAGGTTCTACACTTCTGATCTAGGAAGAAGATTTAATTAATTTCTTTTTTTGATTAGCTTAATTAATCATTGTAATGTCGTCTTGAACTTACAACTCATGTCAGTATATCACGTCAGCAGAAATACTTATAATTCTCTGTAAGAATTGATTGTATATTCCTCTATTAATAAAAAAAAAAAATGGTCAATTTGCAGGAATGTGTATTTCAGCAAATAAAGATATTTAATTTGACGATATGTGTGTGAGTGCGAAGGAGTGAGATAATTAGGATGATATGAAATAAGAGAAAATGAAATGAAAGATATTTAGATATGATTGGTATATTAATATAATTATAATTAAATATGCAATCATTCTGCAATTGCAGCAAATCATATCCAATTGTTTTTCTTTTTGGGCTTTTCCATAATAGCTTCATAGCTGTCACACGTGTTAATTTAACCATTATCTAATAACGAATGCTTAATGTTCTTTGCTTTTCTTTCCTGCGATGAAGTACCTATTGTGATTGTACACGTGGAATTTTAATGGTAAATATAACAATACATATCGACTAATTTAAAAAGATTTAAATAACAAATACAACATATTATATGTATGATGTATGTTATATGCAATCATATATGCAAATTGTAACATATAACGATAATCACTTCTTTGGAATATCTTCAGTAAGAAGAAAATTATTATATATCCATAATTCTTTCAACGAGATCGGTCGTCAAACAAAAAAACAGTCGCATGCTAAGATGTTGATAAATTACTTTACTATTAATTCGGGAACCATAATTGCTGTAATTAGAAGTGAAATTACATAAATCTATGTTAAAGTATGCTTCGACATCGGCCCAGAGTGTTAGGCTATCTGAATTATGTGAATTCACACTTGATTCGATCGCTTCCGCGTCGCATTCATTTTTCAACATCTCTCGGTTCGTCTGCTAGAACGGACGATATATAATAATCTTATTTTTCATCAAAAGTATTTTGTCGGCATTAATATTGATGTATATCGATGTATACCATTACATTATATAACATGTAAATGGGATTAGTTAAACGTGATACATTAGTTTTCTTGTTTGTAAACCCTGATTTTCGAAAGAGAGAGAACCAGAAAGAATGCAAACATTTATAATGACATAATCCCAAGGCAAATTTCCTAGTGTAATCACTAGGCTCGTAATCAGAGGCTTTGAGAAAGGAGACAACTAGACATCTAAGATTGATTATTATTTACTTAATTGTCATAATGATAATATGCTGATCTTATATATGTCTCATTTTCGTTGCTTTCTTACATTTATTTCATGTCATTGTCTATTTTTCTCTCTCTTTCTCTAACAATCTTCGACGGAGCGATAAAAATCATACGGTGTCGTAGTTATTTCAGAAAAAAATTATTAACTGTTGTGGATTACCGCTAAAGATCTTTATAATTGACCGTTATGAAATAAGGAATAAATACAGAACGAGATTTATTTTATAGAAGAATTCTGTTGCATCGGTCCCAATGAACAAGAAATTATCTCGTTGAACGTATCCTAATAAAATATTGGTCCTTTATAGAGATAATATAATACTAAGATATCACCAATCTCATCGTACTTGGTAAAATAAAATTTTAATACTTCATTACGAAATGAATAATTGAATTCCTCTTTCAATCACAGTTTGTTTACCTCGTCAGACATTGATTAATCCAATATTCCTAATCCGATTAGAAGAAATTTAGTACATTGCCTCACAACATGCCTTTTATAAGGTAAAGGTTAATTAAAAGAACATTACAGAGTAGAAAGTCTATGACGATGTATTTTTGTTATATTACTAGAAAAACAATAGTTTACACATACTTTAAATATAACGATCTTCAAGGTGTAGAATAATACATAAACATTATATAAAGTTATATGAAATGAAAAGTAGACGGTTTTTATTTTTTACAGATAATAATATGATTCTACTACAGATTGGATGCTATTACTCACAGAATTCGTTAGGTGTAAATATATTAATTATGTATTATATATATATTCATGCATGTGTATTCGATGTTTTGATTAATTTCTTCTTTCAAACTTTAATCTTATTGGTTTCGATGGTTTTAATGTGATGCTCAACTTTACATCAATTTTTGCAATTTCTACTGGCTTGTCTATTGTAACTCTAAATCTTTTTATCAGTGTAGCGATTACTGTTGCCATCTCCAGCATAGCGAAATGTTGACCTAAAAAAATAAAATCAATTGAAAATGCATTTTATTTTGGAATTTTCTAGAATATACTTTCAAATAATCTATAGAAGTATGTAATTACCTATGCAATTTCTTCGACCGTAACTAAATGGAAAGAAACAGGTAGAACAATTCTTTTCTGGTAGGAACCTATCAGGATCAAATACTAATGGCCGTGGCCAATATTTTGCGCTTCTATGTAGTTTATAGATGAGAAATACTGCTGAACATCCTTTTGGTATAGTCCAATTTTTAGAAACTTAATATAATTAATAAATAAATATTAGTACTATAAAATACGTTCATATTATTAATAATAAAATATTAAACGTAAAACAATGAAAAGATACATATATAGAATCATTTTGAATGCAGAGGTACCTTTTATATCTTGCGTTACTTTCCGGGCAATGAGAGAACCTGCAGGAAAGAGACGTAACGTTTCCTTGATCACACGTTCCAAAAGTTTCATACTTTTAATATCATTATATGTCATTGGAACACATTTCGGATCGTCCGAGCAGTAAAATCGATTTACTTCCTCATATACTTTGCCCTTTGTGATCGAAGGTTTGGAAGACATGATAAGATGTTAATATGAATATAATTTACGTCGGATAAGTAATAACAAATTATTAAGAAATTGTTATATATAAGTACTTGAATTTCCGGGAATGTTGCAAGCATTAAGAGGACAAAGCTAATGGTTGTGGCTGAAGTTTCACTTCCCTGAAAGTAATATACAGTTTTCCTTAATTGTCATTAATAAAAAAAAAATAATTGCAATTAAAAATAATAAATACGACTTACAGCTATAATTAATGTATTAATTTCATCGCGGGTCTCTTTCTCCGTATATACTTCTCCTTCGTTTGATAACTCGAATAAAAAATCGAAAAGTGTCTTCTGTTTTTCTCCTTGAAAGATAAACAAGAATCTATCATTAATAAATCACATCATTGAAAATTAAATTTTATTAAAGGTATATTGCTTATTTTTACCTGACTTTTCCGCCGTCAATTGCCGATTAATTTTACTTTTTAACATAGATTCCATTTTTTCTTTGATTATCTTTAGGAACAAGAAGTAACGATATGTATAGAAAATATTATATTAAAATTTCTTAATTTTTAAATGAGGTAATGAAATTTTTAAAATGTTTGCTTTAATGATACCTTGTATGTTATGTTATCCAGGTGAGCCAAGCACTCTTGAAATTTCTTTCCACTTGCAGTGTTATAAAAAATTATGTTCGGATGTAACCATAATTTAAGGATTCTTTGTGTTGCTATATCCATCCCACTGAAAGTGCACACAAAAAATATTAGAAGTATACATAATATATAACAAAAATGAAAGTATCATTATTACTACCATATAATTGATTCAGCTAATTTACAATCAGGATTTGTCAGCGAATTTAGTTGCGTATCCAGCATGGCATCTTCCAATATAAAGTTTAGCAAAATTATAGTAATTTCAAATAAATGAATATAAATTTTATAAACATTAAAAATTTCTAAATTAAAATACCATATATTATATCCAAAGTACAGCGAAAGACATAATCAAAAATGTCTAATTCTTCTTCAACAATAGATTCTATTTTTTCCATTAATGCGATAGAATGATGAACAAATACATCCATATGTGACTTTATATTTTTCATAAGGAACATTTTATTTAAAACTTTTCGATGTGAATCCCATACTGATGCTAAAATCAAATCAAAAGGAAAGCAATTAATCTTTAATTTACATATTTCACTTATTTTACATAATTTACATATTACTTTAATTTACATATTTTATTTAATTTGTTCATCTATAAGTACATGTTTATAACAAAAGAGTAAAAGAGAAAAGATCTTGTGCATATTCATATAATACATTCATTTGCATGTGTATGTAAAGGAGCAAAAATTTTTTACTATTCAATTTCATAAGATTAAATGTTACAAAAAAGAATATATTATATAGTACATACTTAATATAATTATTTTTGTACTGGTAAACAATGTCGAAAATATATACTTTACCTGGAGCAGTAAACAAACCATTGCCTACAAAAGGTTTCAATTTTTCATATTCCTGGCTCTTATCAGTAATATTTGGATTATTGAGTAAAGTCTTCCGAAAACAAATAAAAATACAAAATGAAGAGATTATGAAATCATTAAAAATTATTAAAATGACGCTAATAGATCTTACCTTGATATATTCAGGATTTTCTATTACTAAAAATAATTTCGTTCCTATCCATACACGCCACAATAATTGATAATTCTTACCTAGATTTAGTATATGCTTCCATAGAGCTAGAATAGAGTTATAAATAATTATTGGATGAAATACTTATATATAAAAAATTGCTGATACAAATTTACCTGTTGTGTCGCCAATAAACAAATGAGCATTTCCTATTATAGGAAATGCTTTTGGTCCAGGAATGCCGTTGATAATATTTAACATATGTAATTTATTTAAAAAGTATTCTGCTATTCCATAGTATAGTCCAAATAAAATTGTTAGAATAATAATTAATATTATAGTGAAATACATGATGAATTGTATCAATAAGAATATATATAAACAACTTAAATATAATGAAAATAATCTTATATCCCTAATAATAATTGTTGAGATTTAAGGATAATTTGATAGCACCGCACAACGACTCCTACTACATTTCTACTCTTACAGAAACTGAGGATGGAATAGGAAAGCGAGGAATATTTAAAGATACCATAAATCAGACTTTGCTCACGTGATTACCGTTTACATCTGGCATTTCTCCTTTGATTGGACAGGAACAGTCTAGAAAGATCGGAGATGGCACCAAAATTGTTTCTGTCCCCACTTCTTATTAATAAAAGAAATGCGATGACTGAACATTGCGTTATAAACCGGATGTAAATTAATTCTTCATTCGTCATTCTGGAATGACGAATATGTTATAAATCCAATATTTATTCGTTTTAGGTTTTTATATATACTTCTCCTTTAATTGTGTGAATGTAGACAAAAGTTTAATTGATATTAATAATTGAGAAGGTACTATAAATCTAGAAGAATGCATTTTTAAATTTTTACTAAACTGTAAGAAAATTAATTTATAAGAATTTATAAATATGTATTTCAATGTCTTTATCCGTTGATCATATATTATATAGTATCTTATGAAATAATCAGATCCTTTGGAATTTTTTTACAATTCTTATTTTATACTGTAAAGATATCACGTAAAATGAAACACTTCCTTTTCTTTTATGTATCGTAAATTACCGCCATCATATTTGTCATGATGTATTCAATATAGATATATTCTTCTATTTATGATATTTTTCTTTTTATTATTTCTATAATAATAGTAGTAGTAACTGAAATAATATAAAGTGAACTCACACAGAAGAAACCATAACGAAATAACGCTGGGAGAAAAATCTCGCAGATAATCTGGAAAAAACCTTGAGTTTTGATCCTTATCAAATATAATATATAATATATACGTTCACTAATATATGATATATATGTTCATTAAATCTGAAAAAGTAATCGACAAATGTATATACTTAATATTCATATCTAATCCAACAAAATTATACTGTTGCTATAACACATATATATGCTATCACGGATCACCGCGAAATTCTCGTCAGTTATTAGTGGAAGAAATGTACAGAATTGTAAGAGATTGAATAGTAACACCTTACTAAATTATCAAATAAGGAGAAGGGGAAAGTAAATTAGTTCATTAGTTTCGTTAGAATTGAACGTATGATTTCTTGTGTTACTAATCTAAATCCTAGCAAATGTGCTACACATTGCTTACATAATCTCTATATTTTTAATCTATAAATATAATGAACAAACATCACAGTAATAAATTTTTTCTTCGAAAAATGTAGAAAACGGCATTTACGCCGTCGATGAAGATAGAAGTAATTCTTGAACAATTGAGAAAAGTTGTCATTTTAAGGACGAAGATTTAATCCAATGTATTGAATTTTCGAAAAGTTATCTTCGAAAAAAATCGTGTAAAGTATGTTATTTTTATTCGATGATTATTTATGCGTAAACGAAAAGTTCTTTCCAAAATTCGGAAAAGATATGCAGTAAACTTGTTTTGAAATCGAGAACGTGATCATCAAAATTGGTCAAGAATTATGTCTGTTTTCATGATGGCATAAATCATTAAGAAATTTTGGACAAATGTTATAGAATCACTGGTTGTAATGACATTACACTAGGCGCTAGGCTCGGAATTCGTCGGATTTTCCTGCAAAATTATTCTTTACATTGCCTTGTAACCGGAAATTAATGGAATAACGCAATGTCTTCTATAGATCCAGGAAAGCTTGTGAGGAATATACGGGATAAAAAACATTAAGTCAATTTAAATCTGTAAGGATGTAATTTAAGTATAATGATAAAAAATTTCGATATTCACGTTTCGTTATTGTGTATCGGTAATTATCCTAGTAAAACACGGTTATCTTATTATTATTAGCTTTAAAGGTACAAATTGATTAAAATGGCAGTTTTTCTCGAACTATTCTTGAAGATGATAAGAACGTCCACGGAAAGGAAAAGAATGATGCTGATTGATCGTGGTATATCAGATTAAACCGCTCGAAATGGTTAAATTCGATTGTATCTAAACGGTGCGAAACTGAATAACCACAGTACTGCTATATAGAAATTATTTATTATATTAATTAGAAATTTTTTTAATTATTATTAAATCAGATAAATTTTGTTGAGATAGTTATAATAGACATGTGGAAGTAAGACTTTATTATTTCTTGAATGACATTCATTTCTTCTCAGTTATCGGTTTATTCTATTTTTAGAAAGTATCGGATCATTTCTTGTCGTTAAGGTTATCTCTTTCTCTTTCTTCTTCTACATTTCACATTAATCATACACATGCAAGCGCGCATTATTGAATATTCCTAAGTATGAGCAACGGAATCAGATTTCTTTCGACAATAATTTGCAACTCCTGCAAAATTTATTTTCTTGTCTTTTATTTTGCATATCCTTCGTCTACTTTTTTACCTATATGACTATAATGGGTGAATTAACATAATCTAAGGAGTAGAGGCAGTTTTTGAAGCTGCGATCAGGATTATTATATTATTCGTTTTTTAAATTTAGTTTTTCTAAAAAACCGGTTATTATGACTTTCGAGACGATGAAGAATGATTGGACGTTCGAAATGGAGAGTTGATAACGTAATTAGAAATTTTTATATAAGACATTCTGAATGAATAGAAAAACATTGAGTAAGGTATTATTGTATGAGCTTATTTATCTACGTTGTAAGCGATGAAAGTGTCGAAAAGTTTAACTTCTTCATTGAATCTTGAAACATTGAAAAGTTTCTTTATATCGTCGAAAAACTTTTAATGATTAGGGCAGTCAAAGTGTCATTTAAACATTGAATTATTTGAAGAAAGGAACGTAGATAATTATATAATTAAAACGGAATGAAAAATCTGACGTGAATATTTCCACATAAAATTGGATTAAATATATATAATATTTAAGAAAATGGAAAGAAATATTTCCATAAGGATGAATGCTACCTTTCGATTTTAATTACAAATAACCGAGATAATAAAGAAAAGTATAATCTCAAAATAATCGAAATAATTATAATTTTTAAGTGAATCTGTAAATTAGATAATATCACTGAAAATTTTACCGACCGCAGATAGATAATTTCTGTTTGTATATCGTCAGGCGTATATTCGACGGGTATGTTATCAAGATTTCAATTCAACTAATTAACTATACTTTACTAAAGGTAGTATTTTTTCAACTACCGTTGTTAGGGTAGACTTCTGTTGTATCGATATCAGGTAATGCCACTTATTTATATTGTGACGTCAACAGTTGAGTCTTGAATGGGTGTAGAGTAATCGAAGTTTCTGCAGTCATCCGATTACACCGACCTAATCACGCGACATTTTTTCGGTCAATCCTTTCGGAATTTTGCACGGAAGCGAAGTTCTTTTTTTCTATTTTCCATCTCAATAGGGTAGTCAAACTGCGTCAGAAAAGATTTATTTTATCTTACTTATTCGATGAAATGATGAGAGCGGCTCCGAACATCATTTCTCGCGTCATTATTTCTTTCGAGGGTTCCTACTACTGACCCTTGAATTGGTTCCCTCTTGTTAGCGATAACTGAGGAATAATAGGGCGAAGCGATGCTCGGTATTCGACACTTTGTCTTCACTTTCACGAATTGATTTATTTGGTATAAAATCGGTGATGGAAATTTACAATGAATAACAAGATTATAAGTCTTAAGTATCGTAATTGTAAAAGAACTGCGCTTAACGACTGACTGCAACGAAGTGATCATAACGACTGACTGCAACGAACTGATGATAACGGCTGCAATGAATTTATCTAGACGACTGCGGTTGATAAAGTTTTGACGATGAAGTGTTTTCTGCTGCGGGTTCTCCTGCAGCGTTCAGTCGCTAGGTGCGTACATAGTACGCGCCTCGCCTGCACGCATCCACTTGCACGACTCGTTCTCGCGCGTTTTTCTGTCGTCAAGGGCTTAAGCCATTGCGTTACGCTGTCCCTGCATTTACTTTCTTGGTCAGCTTTATCTCTGCACGTGTGGCTCTTGTGCGCGCTATCTTGCCAAGAGTAAAAGAGGCATGATGCATTTGCATTCTTGCACATACTTTTCGTCTTCCATCGTCTTCCCGTATTTCTTTACTACGTGTCTTATAGATAATTCTAAATTATTTATTAACTACAAGCTTCAAATGATTATTCTTATGGGGAAAGATAGAGGAGAAACAAATGAAAAATGGTATCGCTCTACAAGCACACGTATTCTTGCCTATAAGGGTTTCTCTTCTTTAAAGTGTCTTTCATAGTTTCTGGTTGACTTACATACGAAGACGTGACAACTACCCCCTTAAGTAAATCGTTCGGAGTTCGGTGCTTCGGTGATTTAATACCGCCTATTGCAATTATTTTCTCAAGGATAGGGTATTTTAGCGATGTCCTTGCGGTGGGAGTCGGAGTCGCAACGCTACCTTCTGCTAGCATTGGTTTTCATATTCGACACTTACTCAAAAACTTACTGGTTTTATTGTCGTTCATGACCTTGTCCTTGTGGCTCCTCGGTGGTCGTTGTCGTCCCAAGTGTAAAAGCAGATGTGTCAATGAACACCAGATTCCACATAGCAGGTGTAAATTCCAACCATACACTGAGTTATCCTCGGATAACCGGATTAACACAAATTTTTATGCCCTTTATTATTATAAATAGTCCAATAACATCGGCACTCGCTGATCGGAACATGAAAAATCACACAAGTTCGAGAGGGTGTTCTCGGTTATTTTAGTGAAATCACTTTCTTTAGTAGATTGTAGAATGAGATAGTGTTTGGTGGAACATGGTGTCTAGTTGCTCCTCGCGCTATAGTATTTAGAAGACTAAGCCTTTCTGCTGGGAACATGTTGTGATCCCTTAGATTTTTCAGGTCTTGTTGGGAGTAAATTCTGCTCGTCTTCAAGTGTTATATGGCCAGGAACGATATTATTTGTAATCGTAGACAATCCCGAATATATCAAAGTAAGATATATTAACGTTATTTTAATAATTTTTAATAATTATATAGTCGTTTTATTTTATATTTTTATTTTTTATCGGATGACTGTATTCAATAGTCCAAATATTACTGATAAGAGCGAGGAATATGAAAAATTTAAACCTTTTGTGGGGAATGGTTTGTTAACTGCTCCAGGTAAAGTATATTTTCTACATTGTTTATTAATACTAATACATAAATATATATATGTATATATATATATATATATATATATATATAAATATTAAATTTTAGAAAATTGAACAGTAAAAATTTTTGCTCCTTTATATGCACATACAAATAAATGTATTATATGTATGTCTAGACGAATAAAATAAGTAAAGTATGTAAAATAAACTATTGCTTTCCTTTTGATTTTAAGCATCATTATGGAATCGTCATCGAAAAATTTTAAATGATGTCTTTCTTTTGAAACATACAACATCGCATATGGATGTATTCATTAATTATTCTATCGTTTTAATGAAAAAATTGGAAACTTCAGTTGGAGAAGAATTAGACGTTTTCCATTATATT